CAAGTGATCCGTCCGGGGATTCGTCTGTTAGTCCCCCGGCGTTGGGCCGTCCCTTGATTGTTCCGAAAGGTCGTATGTTAGTCTTCCTGATGTGTGTTCCTTCTTTCAGGCTTCGGCCGAGGGGGTTGCTTCCCCGCCTCGGCCGGAAGGGGGTCCAAGTGATCCGTCCGGGGGTTCGTCTGTTAGTCCCCCGGCGCTGGGCCGTCCCTTGATTGTGCCAGGAGGTCGTATGTTAGTCCTCCTCATGTGTGTTCCTTCTTTTAGGTTTCGGCCGAGGGGGTTGCTTCCCCGCCTCGGTCGGAAGGGGGTCCAAGTGATCCGTCCGGGGGTTCGTCTGTTAGTCCCCCAACGCTGATTCGTCCCTTGACCTTGGGGGGTCCCGTCGTCTATTTACGGCGCGGGCTAGGCTTGGTCAGTTTTCGACGACTGCCGTTTCACCCCCAAGTTTGGGGATTTCGTCACCCCAGCCATTCTTTCAGGCCTGTCGCCGTGCGTTGCGCGCCGGCGACGCGGTTAGCGTCCCGCTCCAAAAACGCGGGCCTTTTGCAGGCCCCTCGTCTTTAGACACCATCAGCCATACCTGGGCATTTGGCCTCGAAGGGGCCGATAAGATGTCTGGATTGTGTTGTAGTTTACTTAAATTCATAGAAATAAGCGGAATACAAGGGGTGCGTTGTTTGACAATGGCTTTGTTAAGATACACCGCTCTAGGCCGAGGGGATGATAATGTGCCTCGAGGTCGAGGGCCCAAGGCTGAGACCGACGCTGAAGGCGAGGAGCATGATTAGCGGAGGTGGCACTTCTTCGGCTGGGGCTCCTCGAACTCCTCGTCGTCGTTGAACCTTCCGATTTCATGTTTCTTCGTTGCGATGTCCCCTTCTTTTTTATCGGTGTTCTCCCCGACGTTTTTCCTTGGGGCGTTTTTGATGAATTGGTGGAGCTCACCCCGTTGAATTAAGAGTTCAATAGCCTTCTTTAACGAGACACAATCGTCTGTATTGTGGGAGGTGCTTTTGTGGTAACGGCAATAAGTGCCGCCTTGGTGGATGGCGTAGATCTCCCTCGCCGACCGAGGGTCCTTGGGGAAAAGGTTCTGCTCTTCCGCATAGTTGAGGATAGTGCTCACCGGGTGCGTGAGGGGAGTCCTCGGCATGTCCAGCCGAGGGCGCCATTGGCGTTCGTTACGGCCCTGCTGGCTGTGGCTTCCATGGTCTCGGCCTCCGACCGAGGGCGCATTTGGGGCCGGCGTGTTGTTTGTCTTCTTCGAGGGTTGGCCCTCATTCTTCTTGAAGGAGTGGAGGTCGTCGGCGTCGGCGTATAGGCTCCCCCGCTGGAGTGCTCTGAGGTATGATCTTGGGGGGTCGGTGATGAGGCTCCGTGCGTAGAGGCTGCTGCGGAGAACCCCCTGGAAGAGGACGAGGAGGGTACGCTCGTCGGCGCCCTCGACCTCGTCTGTCTCCTTCATCCACCGGTCAATGAAGGACCGAAGTGTTTCGTCAGGCTGTTGCTTGACAGAGAGGAGGTGAGAGAAGTGCTTTCTCGCGTGCTTCCTTCCGGCAAAATGGGTGAGGAAACGTTGGGAAGATCTTGCCAAGAGTCAATGCTGCCCTCGGGCAATCGGTTGAACCATTCGTATGCTGGTCCCTCCAAGGTGGAAAGGAACCAACGACATAAGTATTCATCTGATGCCCACATCATCATCATGTTGTTTTGATACCTGTTGTAGTGCTCCTGGGGGTCGGTTTTTCCTTCATAGGGCTTGATGAGTTGCCCTCGGTACTTTTCCGGGGTTTGGGCCGCCAATACCCTTGGGGTAAATGGCGTCCTAGTTCGGAGTTGGATGACGGGTTCCCCGGAGCCTTTGGCAAATTTCCTTTGCATCTCCTCCATTTTGGCCAGCATGGCCTCATTTTTTGAATCTGCATGAGGGGCGGCAACGGCGGTATGTGCTTGACGGGCCTCCATTTCATCAAGCCGGTGCTGGAGGGCCGCAATAATTTCGTCCCTGGTGTCCTTCGGGAGGGCCTCCGCCCCCTGCGATTGGCTATGGGCCGAGCGGGCCTAGTTGATTTGATGTCGGGTGCCGTCGGCATGGAGGGGTGCTTTGCCTTTATCCCGAGGGGGAAGCTTCTCATCTGCCCTGGAGACGGATCCACCACTTTCCTGAGGTCTTTGGAGCACCTTTCCGCCGAGGCGGTCTTGGACCCCTCGGCGGTCTAGCGCCCCTCCGAGTCTCTCGAGGGCGGAGGTCTGGGGCCTTTCTTTGTTTGCTCCGTGGCGGTCCCGGGATTAGACTTCCTGAGAGGCGGTGTCCTGGGCCACAACCCTCTCGTTGTTCCCTAACCGAAGGATAGGGTTCACGAAGGGGAGCGGAGGAGGGGGGAGAATGGCGTTCTCCCCGACCTGCGGCTGAAGGGGTACCAGCGTGCCGAAGGCACCTAGGTTTTGAGTGAGAGTTTGGATGAAGGCGGAGAACGCTGATTGTACGTCAATGGTGAGAACCGGAGGGCTCATTTGGTTTTCGCTCCGGTCCTTCTTTTTGGCCTTGATGCCAAGGCGGGCATCGGGGGCATTATGTTGGAGCTGAAGGCGCAGGTCGACAGCCGTCTGTTCCAACCCAGTGAGGGCGCCGCCCTCGGGATCCATGTTAGAGGCTTCGAGGGCGTCGACGTCGCCGAGGGCCAGGATCCTGTCCTCATGAGTCTTGGATTGGGCACGGGTGTTTCTTCCCATTTTGATAGGTGTTTTTAGCTGAAGGGGAGGGTTTCTTACTTGATTGTTCGAGCTCTCAACGAGAGCACCAAATGATGGATAGTGTACCCGGGGGTAGCTTATCTGAGGGGTTATTGCAGAGAATAACTAGAGAGAAGTCAGAGCAAATAAGTAAGAGAGAATGTATATTCGATATGTATTAAGCGTGGTTTACAATGGGGGAAAGGGGTGCTATTTATAGTAGTAATAAATGCTAGATAAGGACACGTGTCAGTTTTCTGGTGGTCGAGGGGTCACCTCGACCGGGGTGGTACTGGCACTCGCATGTGGTCGCATTAAATGTGGTGGTTGAATGTGACGTTTGTACTTGGTACGGTGATCCAGGCGCATGTGAAGAGGATATTCTGTCGAGGTGGATGCCTTCGGCTGAAGGGTGCTGGGCCGAAGGCTCTTCTAACCGAGGGCTCCTACCTGCCGAGGGCTGCAGGTGCCGAAGACTTGGTTTTCAAGTCTTGTTCTCCTGTGATGTTTCTGAGCTCGATTCCGTCACTGGTAGCCTTCGGCCATGGGGCCGAAGGCACCCCTTTGCGTATTGTGGGCTGCTTAGAGCTCCATTTTGCTGGGCTTGGCCCGTTTGGGCCTGTTGGGCCTGATTGTAGTAGAGGAAGTATGTGGGCCGGGGGTCCCTGGGCCATATACTCCATCACATAGTATATAAATACTAATCAATAAAATATTCTTACGAAGGAAGAAATATATAGATCCATCATTTTTTCGTTGGTCTTTTAACTCTTCTAGTTCTCTTCTCTTTTAATCAATATTCAATTGATTTGAGTATAAGTATTTAGATTGAGATTTTTTTTAATTTTTTATGTTAGGTTAATGGCCCGGTAAGGGCCGGCCCATCAACCCTTAAAAGTCACCTACGAACGTCTTACTAACGGCCCAAGAAGGAAGCCAAGAGCCAAAGGGCCAGGAGACGTATGTATCCCATCACCAGCCAACACAATGGCCCAAGGGCCAGGAGACGTACGTGTTCCACCATCGGCGGGCATCCAAGCCCAGGGTCCCTACAGGGTACACGAGGACGAACGTCCTCACCCCGCGATAGGGTACCAGGGGCGGCTCAAGAATAGACCAAGGATATCTCAGGTGCATGGGGACGAACGTCCCCTTTCCCATTGACAGGAGGTTGCCATTCCAGCAGGAGATAGGATCCAAGCCTTTGGGGATGAACGTCCCCACCCAGTAGCGGGAAACTAAGATTCTAGCGGGAAGCGCATTTAATGCAGAAGATTTGGTGGTTGGGATCATGTCGGCCACAGCCTGCCACGTCAACATGTCCAACCACCCATTGACGGTATAAATAATAATATTTATTTCACTGTAAAGGGTTCGCAATTTAGTAATCTAGCACTCTAGCAATAGAATCAGTTCGTAGCACAGTATTGTACGTTCGACCCTTCGGCCTGTAATAATCTTAAGAGAGTAAAGACAACTTATCAAGCCCATTTCCTGCTTACCTCTCCATTTACTTGTTCATCACTCATTCAGTTGTGTATGACATAGATAAAATGAGGCTTGTACACGTGCATCCACACATGGTGACATGGGTTGCACCATGTACAAAGAGATTTATTTTTCATGCCTTGTAGTCCTTATATCATATTTCTTCCGTTCACTTTTTATTGTAATAGTGTACATTTCGCGTTTGCCAATGTACAAATGTGATCATTAATATCTTTCATTCTTTATAAGTAAAAGAAATTAAAGTGAGAAGAATTTAACAATATTTTTTAAAAACTTAATTTAGAATACATTAATAAATAAAATATTGTCAAAGTAAAATATGTGAATAATGCAAAAAGTCCAATGTTGTAATTAAAAGAGAAAGGATGTAGTATTAATGTATAGGTCTACTATAGTAACATAAATTGTTAAAGATTGTGTAATCGTGAAATTACCTAGAACTAAACTACCTTGTGGTCCTTATATCATATTGTATACATATATTATAGTAACATAAATCGTTAAAGATCGTGTAATCGTGAAATTACTCAGAAATGGAAGAAAGGTTTGCAGTTTGCTGAATTCTACGTGAATATAGTCCCGAATTACCCGGCCATGAGTTTTTTCCCACAAGCTAAGTCGGTGGATTATCAATATTGGAATAAAGAAACTGTTCTTTAATTAATTTATACAATAATAATATACCAATAAATTGTAGGAAATGTTTGTAAGTTCAGCAAGCATGAGTATGTATATCATATTTAACAGCCTATTTAATTTAAATTAATTAACTATGGAAATTTAATAAGGTGTTAACTGTACAATAATAATGATCTTATTCTCAGCTATAAAAGGCTTAATTACAAGGATATATTTATATAATCACTAGCTCTACATATATATACATGCATATACGCCTTCAAATTTTACAGACAACCATTCTCAGAAATGGCGGTCACACTTTTTCTCCTCGGATTTCTAATGGTTCTTGCAATATCAGGTGATTAATTTAATTTATTTCTCCGCATATAATTATTAATTAATGTATTGGAAATAAATGGAATAATTCTAACAATGTTTTCGGCCACAATCATTATTTGTGTCACGTATTTGATGGAATTATTCAACTAACGATTTAAAAGTTGCATTGTTTTAAATGAATGATATTTTAATTACATAAATAAATAGAATAATTATGCTACATTTGACAACACAAAATATGCTACATTTAGATAACTTCAAATCATTTAGATAACTTGGGCAAGATTCAGGCATTTTGACATTTGCAACTAAATATTTGTACCGTACCTTCAAAAATATTTGGGTCAGTGACAATATTGGTACTTGACTTTCAACTTTTCCATTTTTTGGTCTTCGACTATTGGATGAGAGACACTTTAGTCCCGACTTCAATGTTTCTTACATTTAGTAATCTGAGCATAAACAAATTGACACTTTTAGTCTTTTCACTATGATTTTGACACAATAAGTTGATGTCTAAAATGTTACTATTATAATAGTTAAGGACTAAAAGTGTCACTTTCATGAAAGTCGGAGGACTAAATGTGAAAATTTTCAAAGACGGGTACCAAAAGTGTCTTTCGCACAATAGTCGAAGAACTAAAAGTGGAAAAACTCAAAGTCGAGTACCAAGAGTGTCAGTGACATAATAGCTGGAGGACTAAAAGTAGCAAAAACTCGTATAATAATTTAGGAGTCATAATATCTCTTTAAAATACCCTTTTGACTCCTAATTCTTTTATCTCTAGAAAAGGTCTAAATTAAATTTGGATTTGAAACACTAGTCATCGGGCTCCATTAGAGTTAAAGATCTTAATCGCTTGTTAGTATTTACTCCCTCCGTCCCATAAAATAAGTCTCATTTTCCTTTTTGGGTCGTCCCAAAAAATTGTTCTCATTTCCCTTTTTGGAAAGTTTTGTGTGGCTAACATTCATTTACTTTTTTCTTACTCAACCACAAACATACATTTCCACTTTATTCTCACTTTCTTAAACTCCGATACAAATTGAAATGAGACTTATTTTATGGGAAGGAGGGAGTACTATTTAGTAATGCATTACTAAGAATCAGTAAACATAAAAATGAACATTTTCATAGTCTTACTAATAATGTGTCGATTAAATGATATGAATACGTACCATAACATAAATTTACTAATTAATCACGATAAAATGCTGCTGAGACTATATTATGGACGACGTGAGGATATTTATGGATGAAACTAACAGTGATAGACTTTTTAGAGAATTTTTAAAGTAAGGATTCTTTTTTGAATCTATTTCGAATTTAATTAGATAAAGTAAGAATAAAGTAAGAATGATTTAAAACCACACAAACTTTGCCAAATTTGGTATGAGACAATCTTAGTGGGACGGACCGATAAGGTAAAACGGGACAATCATAGCAGGACGAAGGTAGTAAAACATAGGGAGTACGGAGTATTAAACTATTATAATTAATTAAGTACTTCAATAACAAATACGGAAAAGAGGCGATTCATAAAAACATGTTAATTACGTATGAATTATTCTCAAATGACTAATTTATTCTAAACTTAGTTTTATTGTTTAGAATAAATTAGTGTATTTATGAAACGGTATCATTTTTCATTATTTATTTAAATTTTTTCCACATGAATTTATTATGACTAATTCTTTTAAAATATTATTGATCAATAACTCGTGTTTCTGATTCCATGAATATATTCCAAGTCTTTTTGTCTCGTTGTGCTGCGGATTTGATTTTGAACAAGAAGATGTGGATGGTAATTAATGTCACATTTCGATATGATCAACATTTTTATTTGAATGGATGTATTTAAATTGGGAAAAATTATACGTACTTTAATACGGAGTATAACATATGATGGATGATAATATGCAATTCAACAGTGATTCTTAATCATCGCATTTTAAAAACTCTTTTTTTTTTGAATAATTAACAATTAATTAAATATAAGTATACATTTTCTCACTAAATACTTTTACCCTTACTTGTCCAGTTTCAGATAGGGATTGAGTCGGGCCGGTCCGGTCCGGTCCGGGCCTGACCGGGCTTTTTTTTGAGTTTGTTGAGACCCGTAACCGGCCCGGGTAGCTACCGGGTCCGGTTCAGGCCCAGGTCGGTTTTGGCCCGGGTACCTTATTTTTTTGGTTTTCTAATTACTTCCTACCCCCCACCCCCACCCCACCCCCCAAATCCGTCCAAAACATCCAGCCCAACCCATTTACATCCCAAGGATTTTGAAAAACATAAAAAATTGGCCCAAACCGAGCCTGGCCCCGCCGGTCCGGTTCATGTATTTGCGACCCGGAGCCCGCTCCCAAAAATTCCGGTTCAGGTATAAAGCACCCGGCCCGGACCCGGGCCTCGGGTCGGGCCAGTTCATAACAGTACCAGGCCAGACCGGTTTCGGTCCGGTTGACCAGGGCCGAGTCCATCCCTAGTTTCATGTGGTTTAGAGATCAGTTTTGTTACCACCTATTTTGTTTTTGGAGAACTAACAAGGAACTACTAAAACATTGAGAAATGTTCCAAAAACTGAAAAAGAAGAAAATCGAAAGTTTTCTAATGATACAAAAAATAACAAAATCCAAACAAGTGATCCATATGTTCGAGAAAAAATGGCCTCAATATTACCAATGAGCTTTCCATTTCCAAAAATATGATTTATTTTTCTTTTCCCAAAAATATGGCTTCTCTTCCCGTCTTCCGTAACACAACCCAACCAATCCTTCGTCTATTTTGAATCTTCATCGTTCCTCCTGCATAGCTCCCTCCTGCGTATACCATCCCTCCTGCGTATACCATCGCATACCATCGCAACTCCCACCTTTGAATCTCCACCCCCCTCGACCGCAAGCAGCACCTCTGAATGTTCGATCGATCTGATATTTTTGCTTTCTTTTCATTTCTTCTTCGTTCACCGTTGATTTCTCTACTTCGCCGCTACATCTTCTCCTTCATCAGGGCAACTGAAATCGACCAGCAACGAAGATCGATGGACGGCGTCGCTGCTTCAGACTTCCTCGATGGCCGTCGTCGCTGCTGAATCCGTCGTTCTCAATAGATCTACGGTTGTACGCCACTGATGGCGGCGGCTAGGGTTACCGTTTGTGGCGGCGATTGAGGTTAAGGGTGACCAGCGGTGGCGGAAGTGGCCTGGTCGCGATGGGCTAGTGGTTGTGTGGGAGTAGTGGTGTGCAATTGTGCAAGGGCTGGGGAGGGTGGTTGGGGCTGGTGGGGGTTGGGGGATGCTGTGATGGGTGGGGGCTACTGTGGGGGGTCGGGAATGTTGGCTGGTGACGTAGGCGAGGGGTTGGGTCTGGTGGTCGGTGGTGGTGGTCACAGGTGGTGGTCGCAGGCGGTGGCGGAGGTGGTGGTCGCCGGTGCCGCTATGCGACTGTCACAGTTGAGCTGGCTGGGTGACGCGGGGGGGGGGGGGGGGGGCTGGTTGGGGTTGGTGTAGGAGAGGGCAGGATTGGCGGCAAGCGATAGTGGGAGGTGGTGGTTTCCGGCGTGGACGGCGGTGATGGAGTTGGGCGGACAGTCAATGTGGTTGGCGGACGGACAGTCATCGTGGTGGGTGGGCGGGCAGTCACTATGACTGGTGTGCGGGAAGTCACTGTGACCGGAGTGACTGACCGGTGGGGCAGTCACTGTGGCCGGTGGGGCAGTCACTATGGCTGGTGGGGCTGTCGCTGTGGCCAGTGGGGTCACTTTGGCCGGAGTCACTTTGGTCGGGGTCACTTTGGCCGGAGTAACTTTGGCCGGAATCACTTTGGCCGGAGTCACTTTGGCTGGAGTCACTTTGGCCCGGGTCACTTTGGTCGGAGTAACTTTGGCCGGAATCACTCTGGCCGGAGTCACTTTGGCCGGAGTCACTTTGGCGGCGCCGGTAGTGGCAGTGGTGCTAGTTGTGGCGCCGACAGTGGCGGTGGCGCTGGCGGCGGTGGCGCCGGCTTCGGCGGCGGCTGTGATGCGGTCGGCAGTCAAATACTCCCTCCGTCCCCCAATTAAATTCTCCATTGCTTTTCACACTTATTAAGGAAAAACAATTAATGGGGTGTAAACTTTACTGTTTTGACACTGTTTGGACATTATTTTGGTACTGTTTTGCATTGTTTGACACTGTTTTGATGTAATTAATTTTCCAAATAAGGAAAGGGGGACTTAATTCAGGGACTACCCAAAAAGGAAATGGAGAACTTAATTGGGGGACGGATGGAGTATATAAAATGAATATAAAAATAATAAATGTATGATTAAATACAAGGAATATGACTTTTATTAGTCACATTTTTGAAAAAATTTAAAACAGGTCACAAATTTATCTTTTTCATTCATTTTAGTAATATTGGAATTAAAAGACCTATATTCGATCCATGGTACGGAAATGAATCACCGAGGATATTGACATTTTCTAATAACTTTTTATTATCATTTTAATATCATTTCAAAAACTTTCAGTATTTTTAATTTTTCAAGGTTTAATATCAATGTCTCAGATATTTTTTTGGGAGAAAGACAACAATAACTCATTGTAGTATATTTTAGGTCTACAATAATGATATTTCTAATAATGATGTTGATATATTTAAATAATTCAAACACGTGACCCGTTCACCCCGAGAGATCATCCCCATCTCTAATATGATGTCTACATTTCAGATGCACATGAAGGAATAGGCATATGCTATGGAACACTAGGCAACGATCTTGTGCAAGCATCAGAAGTGATCCAACTTTACAAAACCATAAACGTCACAAAAATGAGGTTGTACAACCCGGACGACGTCGTATTGCAAGCGCTAAGAGGCTCTGATATACAACTCATGCTAGGAGTCCCAAACGAAGACCTTGTGCGCCTCGCTTCTGACACCGACTACTCGTACCAATGGGTACACCAAAACGTCCAAAACCACTGGCCGGAGGTGAGGTTTCGGTACATCTACGTCGGCAACGAGATCAGTCCCTTGAAACCTGACACAACATGGGTAGCCAATTGCGTCCTCCCGGCGATGAGAAACATTCACACTGCGATTTTAAATGCTGGATTGCAGAACAACATCAAGGTTTCCACCTCCATAGACATGACGTTGTTAAGCAACTCTTTCCCCCCATCTGAGGGTCAATTTCACAATGAATTGAACTCGTATATTCAACCAATTATCGAGTTTCTGGGAAGCACTAATTCGCCATTGCTCGTCAACGTTTACCCTTACTTCACCCACACGCAAAATCCGGCTGATGTTTCTCTTGACTACGCTTTGTTCACTTCCCATACCGTGGAAGTATGGGATGGAGGGTATGTGTACCACAACCTATTTGATGCAATGCTGGATGCAACCTATGCGGCCATTGCACGTGCCAAAGGGGATAATGTGGACATTGTTGTCTCAGAGAGCGGGTGGCCATCGGCCGGCGGAGCAGCAGCTACACCGGAGTACGCGATGACGTATAACCAGAATTTAATCCGCCACATCAAAGGTGGTAGTGGTACCCCGAGGAGGCCCAACAAGACCATTGAGACATACTTGTTTGCAATGTTTGATGAAAATAGTAAATCTGGAGCCGAGCTAGAGAGACATTTTGGTTTGTTTTCTCCAAACAAGATGGCCAAATATCCCATTGATTTTTAGTGGCTGAATGAGGAAGTTGAAGATGTGGCATCATCACAAGAGTATCAACAACTTTGTTCTTAATTTAGAAAAGCAAAAAAGAAGAAAAACCACTAGACACAGATTGTAATTTGTAAGTATATTCAATGGTCTAACTATTATGCATGTGGATTATGGAGAACCCATCCAAACTAGAGATTCCTTAGCCTCCTGTGGGTATATGATAATATATGGTCATCAGGTCATGTATTGAAGCATTTCAAACAGGGAACTAGTAACATATATATATGTGGCCATTAAAATGTAACATTTTAAACTTAAACAATTCAACTATTTCTTTGTAAAGCTACAAAAATGAAATAATATATTCATGTCCAGAAACTGCAAGCAAATGCAAAGAGCGAAAAAAACATCTAAAGGCTGGCTGGCTGGTTGGCTTACACCGCAATCATCAGTCGATCTTGACAGACGAGTATATGAGCCTCGTGAACCAGAAGCACGCATAAAAGCCAATCGTGCCAGTCAGCACAAAAAACACATAAGAGGCTATCAGCATGTAACCAAAATACAATATTCCAGAAACAGGCTTTGTGATTTCCAGCTTAGTGAAGAAATAGAAAGCTGCATAAAGGAAGAGGTAAAGCGCTGATGAGCCTGATGTGAGGTAGGATCGCCACCACCATAGGTAGTCCTCACTGCAGAGCTGGAAATAGCAGAGCACAATTGTTATCTCTGCGCATGTGACCATCAGGATGATGAAGACGATGAAGAGAAACCCAAAGAGGTAGTAAAACTGGTTCAACCAAATTGAGGTGAGGATGAAGAAGAGCTCAATGAAAACAGCTCCAAATGGGAGTATGCCTCCAATCAGAACAGAGAAAATTGGGTTCATATACCAAGCTTGTTCTGGGATTTGCCTAGGAATTTTATTAGTCTTCACAGGATGCTCAATGGGTAGTTTCTTGAAGCCAACGTAACTACCAACATAAACTAAGGGAACTGAGATTCCAAACCATAAGACAACAAGAGCAAACATCGTCCCAAATGGGACTGCTCCTGATGACTTCTCCCCCCAGATGAGTGCATTTAAAACAAAAAAGATGGCAAAGACAGTGCCCGGAAAAAGGAGTGCAGTCCTGAGGGCAATTGCTTTCCACTCAGTACCCTTAAACATCTTGTAGAGACGGGCAGAGGCATAACCAGCAAACAATCCCATGAAAACCCATAGTAAAAGCATGGCTGTCATCAAACCACCACGATTCGAAGGGGAGAGAAATCCTAGGACAGCAAATATCATTGTCACAAGCATTACACCAAAAAACTGCACCCCAGTCCCCACATAGATGCAGAGCAGATTTGAGTTGTTGGGTGGCCTGAAGACATCACCATGCACTAGTTTCCACCCAGTTTCTTCCTGAGCTTCCTCCTGGGTCTCAAGTTCATTATATCTGGAAATGTCACGATACAAAGTACGCAGCATAATCATTGCCACCATGCCCGAGAGGAAGAGAACTATCATCAAAGAGTTTACAACTGAAAACCAATGGATTTGATCATCTGCCATCAGAAGATAGGCATCCCATCTTGATGCCCACTTCACTTCACTTTCCTACAAAATTTGCAGAAAGAGTAACAAAGCTGATTTGTGGCATACCACCTTGGGGTACATGAAGTACAAAAGGTCCAAAGAAGTATGAGACCCCCAACCCGGCATATAATGAAGAATGCCTAGAAATGAGTGTTTATCCATGCAAACAATATTTTAAAAAATACCTGGAACTCTACATCATAGGTGAATATGATTTCTTGTTTGTTCTCAACTTCTTGAGGAGAGTTTGAGTTAGACACTGTCCGCTTCGCATGCGGATCGCAGGTCGTCAGACGCGTATTGTTAGTCCATTCACCTTCATATTCATGCTTCACACTAGATGCATAGTTATGACTTATGAGTTAATATAGACTGTCTAATAGACATTTAAGGCACAAATGTATTTAGTCTGCGTATGCACTTAAGTGGTATGAGCAAGATCAGTCAAACCTGTATGGCATGACCTCGAACCCAACAATCCTGGCTGAGTCGAGCTGCAAATCTTTATGATACTTGACTGTAAAAGTCAAGTGATTGTGGATAAAGAACTTTTCATCCTTGCTCTGACCATAATTCCATAATGTGAGTAAAATAAATATCTTGGTAGGTTCTTGTTTTTAGAGGTCTAGGATAACAGGAGTATACTTACTCCAGCATATTGTCCTTTAACACCAATATAGTAACCTTGCTGGTAAGCAGGAGGACTTTCTTGGTCTAACCTTCGAACTGGAACAACCAATGGAAGATTATCCAAAATCCTGATGCATAAATCCAAATAGTTTTAAAAAGTAAAAGAAGAATAAATACAGATTTCATATATTACGATAAATCAATATGTTATACATAAGGTGACATACATGTTTACACGGTACTCATCTTCAATCTTATTCTTGAATGCTTTTGCACTTTTTTCATCAAGAACTACCCGACAAAGAAAATGACACATCTCTGGTTCCCTCATTTTAAACTGCATAGACATGAAATAAGAATGAATCAACTTTTTTGGTAAAAAGAGAAGAGAAGCAGAAAATATTATTGAACTTACTACAAAAGGGGAGTTCTCAATTCGGTCACCATGCAGTACTTCCCCGAGATTTTCTCTGCTGTCAATAATTTTCTCTGGATGGCAGAAAGGGACAGTATAGTATGAGTAAGGAAGTTGAGTCTTTGTGGAAGTCAGTTTGTTTACTTTGACATACAGCATGTCCCCCTGCAATGTTGAAAAAATAATGCCAACATAACTATGAGTTTTAATGAATATACAACATTTAAACTATAATTGATGAAGTCAAATCCGAGCAGAAGTAAAGGCATCTATTTATCTTCTAAAGAAACAGAATATACCCAACGCACGAGACAACTAGATCACGAAAGGCATAGGAAAAGGAATGCAGAGCATTATGTTACTCTTTAGAGGGGTTTTGAGGACTGATCCCATAACCTACTGGTCAATGGTAAGATCTTGCCATTTACATCAAACAACTTCTGTTACATACTAAATACGGGTATCGAGTTCATTAGAACAAATATTTCAAAAATCACACTATGGAACACTATGAAATATTTGTAATTGATCTGCCTGATTTATTACAGCAAAGCAGCCCATATTACAACTGGTTAAGTGCAAAGTACTACACCAAACTAATACAACTGGTTAACTGGTCGTATATCGCTCACTACCAGTCCCTTGCGCAGATAGATGAGAAGGGTTTTGGTAAATGGTCATTGGAAAACCCAGTCACATCTATGAAAACTTCATGGGAATTCCACTCTCAGAAAACAGTACACATTTTAGGCCTGGAAATCCCGAGGTTACTCTATATATACCACTAAGATTGAAATAAAACCTTTAGAGCAATGCTATAAGACCAGCTATAGTATACAGAATATTGGGATGGATGTGAAACCAACTAGGAAAGACCGTAAGAATATAAAAGAAGATGGAGTGCGATAAAACTAGGAAGTAGGAACGCAGACTGCACATTGTACAACAATAAAATTGGAGGGAAGGTGGTTGTAGCTATTGAAGATAAAATAATGGAGAACCTGTTGCATTAGTTAGAAGCCTCAGTCGCCAAGAAATTATGGAGTCATGGTATGTGGGAGACTAAAAGAAAAGTCAAGTCGTCAAGATAGACTGAAAATGACTTGAGAATTGAGATCAAGGTGTACAGAGATACCTAAAAGAATTGCGAACTAATGAGCACATGGTGCATCATGCGTGCCAAAAAGGAATAGGGAAAAAACATTGGATTAGCTCGGTGTATTTTCTACTGACTCTTGAATCCAGCCCTATTGAATTAGAACTAATGCTTGGTTGTTGTTGTTGTGGAAAATATTAAGTTTCATATTAGTGATCTATGTATAAAGATTACTATTAGTATCCAAATCAGATATTGAGATATGTGAATTAGAACAACCAACTAAAATATTGTTGTGTGCAACAAAAGCAAATTGCTTTAGACATGTACGATTTTGCAACGCTAAACACAAAGAAAACCCAACTACATAACTAATGAATAATACATGAAATGGCCATGGCTAAATAACAAAGTTCTACGCTTTAGTCATTGAGCAAAACTTCAAGGTTTACAAAAAAAATACCAGTTCTTGAGCTCGTACATTGCAAAGATGAAGATAAATCACATCGAATTCTCATTTCCCTACACTATACGATTCTGAAATTCACAATGACATTTCAATCGGATCTCATCTCCCACAGGTCAAACATTTTTCGCACCCATTAGTCTATGAATCTTCCTAACAATCACGAAATTGCAACCCCCAGTAATTTCACGTAGATAAACAGATAGAGAGGAAGAATGAAACAGAGATCACGTAGATCCGACCGGAAAACTTAAACCAAACGGCAGATGGAGCAACAACATATCAGCGACTCAGCGTGCAGACTGATAAGGTATCAAAATTTGATTTTGTACGCATATACATATGCAGGAAAGGTAATATATACCTTATGGAAATCTTCAGGGGCGACGCCGGGGAGGTAGAAAGATCGGGCATGGTGGAAGGAGAGAAATATAGCAAGGGTGACCAATGCCGGAAGCGGAAATGGAGATCCTCGAGGTCTTCCCATGGTGGAAGAGAGACGTGGGTGAGCTTCTGAGATAACCGATCTTCCTTTCAGATCCAGAACCAGAATTGGGAGCTACGAGAATTCGTGACATTATTATGTACTTTGCCGATTTGCGTATGAAGACCAAATTTGTTTTCGTTGTGTTTATCATTTCCTATTTTTGAATATTTTCGTTGTCCGTTATCCAGTTTTGGTGCCGAACTGGCTCAGGCCCAACTTCATGATTTGTCGACAGGCCCATACACCAGGAGAAAACAATTACCCTGCATTATATCAATCCAATATTTGATTCATGTTGAAATATATTGAATTAGTCATCTTCCAACTATTCCTGATTAGGAATTATTATCACCATTGTATAAATAATTACGAAATCATAATTACGATTCTAGATGATAATTGTGTGGTTCACGATTATCCTCTAATCCTAATAAGCTTAACTTTTCTTCTATGAATAAGAGTCTTCTCCATTGTAATTAACACACAATTAGAACATCTCTAATACATCGTCTCTCTATCACTAAGTGTTCATACTATATTTTCTCTCCCTCATCTTCTGATTATTTCATTCCATATTATAAGGAATATTTATGTCTAACGACAAATAGATCTGGCAATAAATACATTTCAGAAAAAATGCCAGCATATTCCTCCGGACTATATTATACATATATCAGTCCAATTGAGATAAATGTGGTATCTAAAATTAATGACCACAATTCCTTTATCTTGTGGCATGACCGTTTAGGTCATCCAGGCAGCACTATGATGCACAAAATTATTCAAAATTCACTTGGACATTCACTAAATAATGTCAAAATTCCACAATCAAGCGATTTCTCGTGCACGGCATGTTCTCTTGGCAAATTAATTATCAGGTCATCTTTATACAAAATTGGAGTTGAACCTCCTGCATTTTTAGAAAGAATTCAAGGAGATATTTGTGGGCCAATTGCCCCTTCGTGTGGACCTTTTCGATACTTTATGGTGCTCATTGATGCATCAACACGTTGGTCACACGTCAGTCTTTTATCGACTAGAAATTTTGCATTTGCAAATCTCCTTGCTCAAATTATTCTGAGATCACAATTTCCGGATTATTCAATAAAGAAAATTCGACTTGATAATGCAGGTGAGTTTACATCTCAATCTTTTAATGACTATTGCATGTTAATTGGGATTGATGTGGAACATCCACTTCCACATGTGCATACACAAAATGGTCTTGCTGAATCCTTAATTAAGCAATTACAATTAATTGCTAGACCATTATTGATGAAATCCAGATTACCATCATCTGCATGGGGATATGCTATAATGCATGCTGCAAATTTAATTCGGCTCAGGCCAACTGCATATCATAAATTTTCTCCATTGCAATTAATATCTGGTAAAGAACCAAATATATCACACATAAAAATATTTGGCTGTTCTGTGTATGTACCAATTGCTCCACCTTATCGTACTAAAATGGGTCCTCAAAGAAGGCTGAGAATTTATGTTGATTTTAAATCTCCCTCAATTATTAATTATCTAGAACCTATGACTGGTGACTTATTCACCGCACAGTTCGATGACTGTCATTTTGATGAGACGGTATTCCCAGCCTTAGGGGGAGATAATGGAGAAATGGACCCACGTACGAAAGATATTTACTTAGAATGCAACAAATTTATTTTTTCTTGATTCTCGCACAAATTCTTGTGAACAAGAAATTCAAAAGATCATTCATTTACAAAATGTTGCAAACCAATTGCCTGATGCTTTCACAGACTCAAAGAAAGTGACAAAGACACATATTCCAGCTATGAATGCTCTTTCTCGAATAGAAATTCCCGTGGAGATTAGCAAAAGAACTCTTGCTAATAAATCTATGATATGTAAAAAACGTGGTAGACCACTTGGTTCAAGAGATTTGAAACCAAGAAAATTTAAAAAGAAAGATGTAATTTGTGATGCCAAAGAAGTTCAACCTTCTCAAGAAGAAAATGAACATCTTGAAAATATCGGCATTGAAGATAACATCAATAACAATGATACCTCAAAAGAGGATCAAATCACCTTTGAAGAGGTAAATATTCCAGATAAAGATAGAAACCTTGATAATTTCGAAATTTCAATCAATTACGTTTCTAATGGAATACAATGGGATAGAAAAGATATTGATGTTAATGATATATTTTCGTATGTCATCGCCACAGATATCATGAATGGACATGATGACAATGAGCCTAAATCTATTGACGAATGTCGTCGTAGAAACGATTGGCCAAAATGGAATGAAGCAATTCAGATAGAACTAAAATCACTAGAAAAGCGTAATGTTTTTGGACCAATTGTCCACACACCAAAAGGTGTAAACCCTATGGGAAAACTGTCAATTGAGCCCTCGTACTATGCGCGATCCGTCAATTGAGTCCCCGTACTTTGGAAACCCTCAATTGAACTCGCCAACAATGAAAATCCCGTCAATTAGGTCTACATAACCGGATGCTTCCCGGTTAGCCCGTTGCTCGCTCACGTGGACATCGCACATTGAGGGTTCCATTGCTGACATGGATTTAAAATTTCCACATCGAGAAATTAACTTCCCCATCCTCCTCTTCTTCGCCATCGTCCTCAACTCTCTGGCCGCTGTTTTTTCCACTCCTTTCCCAATACGACGCTGGCCCAGAGCTAGGCTTTCGGAACGGAGATGAGGGGTTCGAATACATCGAGCTGCGGCTAGTCTTGACTATCATTGTTCCGAAAATTGAGGCAGGCTCATCGTCAGAATCAGAGTCGACATCGGACTCAATTGGACCGCCGCCGCCGAAGTCCTTGGGGAGTCGTTTGAGTAGCGGAGGGAGTGAATCGTCGTCGTTAGGATCATCAACGACAGTCTAAGCTATCCGTTCCTGTGGCGACGTTTTTGCTCTGAAGTTCGTTGTCCACGGTAGAGTAGATGTCCACCAGCTTCGGCGGAGGCGGTTTACGGAGGTTGACGAGGTCCGAGGAACCCTCGTACTTGTTGGACACCGTGAATGCTCGGAGCGGAAGCTTTGGATTTGAAATCCCATCCACAGAACCTTCGTGATGTAGACCTAATTAAGTGATGTGGAAATTTTAAATCCATGTCAGCAATGGAACCCTCAATGTGCGATGTCCACGTGAGCGAGCAACGGGCTAACCAGGAAGCATCCGGTTATGTAGACCTAATTGACGGGATTTTCATTGTTGGCGGGTTCAATTGAGGGTTTCCAAAGTACGGGGACTCAATTGACGGATCGCGCATAGGTTTTAAGTGGCTGTTTGTGCGTAAACGCAACAAGAAAAATGAAATCGTTAGATACAAAGCCTGACTTGTTGCTCAAGGTTTTTCTCAAATGCCAGGAATCGATTATGATGAGACGTATTCTCCAGTAGTTGATGCTACTTCTTTACGATTTTTAATTGGCATGTCTGTTTTTGAAAGGCTGCAAATGTGCGGCTAGTAGATGCAGTGACCGCATATTTATATGGTTCACTCGATACAGACATATATGAGAATTCTTGGAGGCTTTAAAATACCTGATGCTTATAGCTCGAAATCTCGAGATTTATTTTCTATAAAATTGCAAAAGTCATTATATGGATTAAAACAATCTGGACGCATGTGGTATAACCGTCTAAGTGAATATTTGATCAAAGAAGGATACACAAATGATCATATTAGTCCATGTGTTTTCCTTCAGCGATCTGAATCGGGATTCACCATAATTGCAATATATGTTGATGATTTGAATATAATCGGAACTCCCAATCGGAACTCATGAAAGAATTTGAAATGAAACACCTTGGGAGAACAAAATTTTATCTCAGCATTCAAATTGAACATTTGAGAAATGGTATTTGTATCCACCAATCAAATTATACCAAGAAACTTTTGAAGCGGTTTTACATGGAAAAAGCTCACTCACTCAATTCTCCGATGGTGGTTCGATCTCTCAATGTGCATGATGATCCTTTTCGACCTTGTGAAGATGAAGAAGAAATCCTTGGCCCCGAAATACCATATTTGAGTGTTATTGGAGCGTTAATGTATTTGGCTAATAAAGTCCGACTAGATATTGCTTTTTCTGTAAATTTATTAGTCAGGTACAGTTCTTCCCCGACAAGAAGACATTGGAATGACGTCAAACATATATTCCGCTATCTCAATGGTACAATCGATCTTGGATTGTATTTCAAAAATTGTGCAAATGCCACTTTAATTGGCTATGCCGATGGAGGATACTTGTCTGATCCACAAAAGGCAAAATCACAAACATGATATGTATTCACCTATGGTGATACCGCTATCTCATGGAGATCAATGAAGCAAACATTAACTACCACATCATCAGATCATGCAGAATTAATTGCTCTTTATGAAGCAGGTCGAAAATGTGTCTGGTTGAGATCAATGATCCAACACATACAAAATGAATGCAGTATAAAATCTTTTACTTGTAATCCTACTGTGATTTATGAAGATAACACAACATATATAGCTCAGATCAAAGGAGGTTACATCAAAGGTGATAGAACAAAGCATATAGCACCAAAACTTTTCTCCACACATGATCTTGAGAAAGAAGGAACAGTTGATGTCAAACAAATCAAGTCCTGCGACAACCCTGTTGATTTATTCACAAAGTCACTGGCACCGAAGAAATTTGAAGAACTGGTCCACAAAATTGGAATGTATCGCCTTCGTGATATATGTTAAATTGAGGAGGAGTAATATAATGCACTGCACTCTTTTTCCCTTCGTCGGGTTTTTATCCCACTGGGTTTTTCCTGACAAAGGTTTTTAACGAGACAGTACATTATAATACTATGATACTAATACCCCAGAATAATTAGAAGATGACCATTCAAGGGGGAGTGTTGAAATTTATTGAATTGGTCATCTTCCAACTATTCTTGATTAGGAATTATTATTGCCATTGTATAAATAATAAGGAAATCATAATTATGATTCTAGATGATAATTGTGTGGTTCACAATTATCCTCTAATCCTAATAAGCTTAACTTTTCTCCTATAAATAGGAGTCTTCTCCATTGTAATAAACACACCATTAGAACATCTCTAATACATCTCTCTATCACTAAGTGTTCATACTATACTTTCTCTCCATCATCTTCTGATTA